CACATATGTATCGGTGAGTAGTCTAGTGTGTCATGTTTATGTTTGGTTATTCATGTATACTTATTGATATATACTTGTGCATTATCAATTGTAGCAACATATTATGAATGGGGCGGACCATACAAAGCTATGTGACGAATATTTTGGGGAGTCTCGATACACTGGGAAGCTTCATGCTTGTCAAGAAGTAATGTGTCAAGCATTCTTCCATTTTGCAGGATTATTATAAATATCCCCTCCATTTTACAAATATTTTTATTATTTATTAAGTTTTTTAGGATATCAACATCGTCATTATTTTTTTGTTTTTTAATTTTCTAAACTGGTTGGGCAACGTTGCATGCCCCTTTTTTTATTATTGTCACTTAGATATATATTCCGGTGAACGACCATGAAGAACATTGGTTTTGTGTCAACATAGATATGGCACATCGCATGGCTTATCTATTTGACTCGAGTCCTAGCCTCACAAATGACAAACGTCGTGAATTAATAGCAAGGAAATTGGTAAGTCGTTTTTAAAGAAAAAAAAACAATCAGCACAATCTGTCTTACAATATTCATGCATAGGTTCAAACAATGCATTTGTTATTGCAACAATATTTTGGAGAGTTTTATGTTGCAAATGTGAAGGAGTTTGAATTAGAGAGGTTGAAAGACACTTGTCTCCAACATAAAACCGATAGGTATTCTAAAATTTCTTCATTCGTTATTCAATTTTGGCTCTCTTATTAACATTACACACAAGTTTGACATTCATATGTATGTTGTCATGAAGCTATGACTGTGGTATGTTTCATGAAGTATATGCAAGGTGTTGTTATGCCGACCGGTGTACACAAGGTGACTGTTTAATGTTAACCACATAATTGCACTATTGCAATTACAATGTCATATGATGGTATTGTTGATGGAATACTTTTTGTTTTCTTTCCTTAGTTTGATAAACTGGAAAGGTTTAGGCTACTAGTTGACCTAGTGAACGATTCGTCCAACCGTATTTATATTGAGGTTATGAATAGGCTCGAACAATACAAAGAGAGGTGCGTCTCCAAACCATGAACAACTTATGCCCCTCATAAACTCAACTGATTACTTACTGAATGTAATTTCTTACTGAATGTAATTTCTTTTGTTACAGGTACTCTAGGCTCTGGAAGGCTAGAAGGAAAAAGAAAGTTTGATTGAAAACATGACTGCTTGAAAAAAGATTGATTCGTCTAACCGTACTTTTGGCACTATGCTTATTCACAATTATGAACATATTAGATGGTTGAAAAAACATGGATGACTAAACTAACCCAGTTTGGTAGTATTTTGTGAACAATTGAAAAAGCATATTATTTTTTGGGTTTCAATTTGTATGGAATTTATATTGTTGCTCAAGATTGGGGTGATGAAACTATTTATGATATTTAACTGTATCACATTACTCTTGGTTGTTCCATTTACAATCCATCAAAAATTACACACATGTACCAAATGTTAGTGGGGAAACTGTTTTAAAAACTAGATTACGAGTCCATGCATTGCTACATATATAGTACAATATAATTTTTGTTGCAAATGACAAGAGTGTAAGAGGACTAGTCCTTGGTAGAGTAACAAAATAACTAATAAATTTTCTAAATTTTACATTTAAGAAAACACACATAAAATGAACAATAAAAAAAATTAAACAAAAAATATATTGTTAATGCATAGAAAGTGATAATTCATGTCATCTCCCCACTTAGAAGGCGCGCAAAGGTAGTTCTTTGCAAATTTTAAAAATACCAAGAACAATGACAGTATTTGCTACAAAAAAGCAACAGAGGACCTGCATTTCCTTGCTAGTAAGCAACACCTAATGTATCACACATAAAATGAACAATAAAAAAAAATTAAACAAAAAACATATTGTTAATGCAGAGAAAGTGATAATTCATGTCATCTCCCCACTTAGAAGGCGCGCAAAGGTAGTTCTTTGCAAATTTTAAAAATACCAAGAACAATGACAGTATTTGCTACAAAAAAGCAACAGAGGACTTGCATTTCCTTGCTAGTAAGCAACACCTAATGTATCCTTCAACGACTTAAAAAGAAAGAACGTCTAAGAAATCTAACGAATTATATTTGTTAATCACATTCCGTGCATAAATATCATACTAAGTTTTGGAATCGATGTATCAACTGTGTAGTCGATTGGTATCCATAAATTTCAGCAAGCTATACATGCATCATTGGCATTGGAAAAAAAAAATTAATTGGACATGTCTATCAAAAATGTCGAATCATCATACTAAATAATATTGTTGACATAAACCATCCAAATGTTGTCCATCACATAAGCCATCCATGAATTCTAACATTGTTTCAATTTTCTTTTCATAATAAATGGGACAAAAGGTAACACTGTTCGCAAAAGTATGGGATGAACAAAGTACCACCACTGTTTGCACAAAAAAGTAACATTGTTTGTAAAAAAAAGTTAACACTTTCTGCACAAAAAAGTAACATTGTATGCAAAAAAAAGTAACAGTGTAAGCTAAATCATTGGCCTTGCAAACTTTGTTCAACCATCATTGTCTGTGTCCATTTGTTGGCTATCATCATGGTTGGACCTATTAGATTCTTGCTCACTATCATTAGAACTAGTTGAATTCTCAAAATCTTCACCACAAAAGGCTTTCCGCTTTTGTTTTAGTTCTAACTTGACCTTCCTCATGTCTTTCTTGTGCTGCAACTCCATCTGGTTCAATATGGACACAACCTCGTACAAACGAGTTGATATGCTCTCCAATGAAGTAGGATCTTGTCTTTCACGATGCTTTCGACTTTGCCCTTGTGTTTTCCCATACGTTCCACGACCTATGTGGCTCATCTGTCCCTTCCATTCATCATCCGGTCGAGTCGGTACACGAAGCTCAAGTAGCATATCAGTCACGAGGAGGCCGAATGGTAATGCTGCATGTGGATTGTTTGCTTTTGCGACAGAATCCACAACTTGCCAAATTATCTTCAGAACATCTAGAGGGCTGAAATTATGGACAGCATACAACATGAGTGCTCATTCATGGTCAAAAGTGGATTTCACCCCCCTTGGGTCAAGATTGTACCACAATATAAGATGAAGAACAGCAAGGTCAGGCTTCAGGAACTTTAAATGATACTTGTCTTGTGGTATGACTCCTTTGATGTACAAATCATCAACAATTTGGGCTTCATTAGGAAGGTCAACACCAGGAAGGTATGGATATTGTGTTTTGTCATCATGTGTTGGTCGCTGAATGTCTAAGAATTTTGATATGCAATCCGCGGAAAACACCACATCTTTCCCCCTCAGTTTTGTTTTCAAAATCAAGTTCTCTGTATCAATTGGCTTTTGTATGCTACCAAAGAATTCCTGTACCAGGTTGACATTAGCCTTCCCTTCCTGTTCGATTTGGTTTTGGATATGCAGATGGCCCACAATTGCTGGAATATCAGTATGAGTTAAATCCTTCAACTTGACAGCCCGCTCTACTGTAATAGCCTGTTTAGCAAAAATACCAAGGTCAACGTGAGGAGCTTCCGCTTTTCCTTTACTCATTTTTTTTGTTGTCTTTTTCCGTGGCGTCTTCAATTACCTACGTAATATCCAGACATATTAAAACATATGTACGTCATTGGAGAGATTCAAATTTTAATCATACAATGACAAATGCAAATATATTAAAACCTTATTGATTTCAGTCAACAATGTCCACCATTTCTTACCAAGCAAACAGACAAATAAAAAAATCTACAAAAGAAAAGGAGAGAGACAGTTCGGCATTATTAACAGTGATTGTTTGTAAAGTAATGGCATGAGCAAGTCCTTATTTTATCAGCAATCAAACAAATTTGAAATTTATTCACCTTTATTTTTCAAATTAATCTCCAAACTATGAAATTTATTAAGTCAAAAATATTAAAAAATATTAAGTCAAATATTTCAATGGAAGAAACACTCAAGTCAAAATATTAAAAAATAGGAAATTTTTGAATTTATAATTAAATTCAAAAAATGTTTTAGGAAAATTCTTCCAAACACAATCCACTTTTTAAGAAACACCTAAAAGTTAATTGTGTTAGTTTTACATGTGTCTAACACATCGCTGGACATGGGAATATCCAACATTTGTCATGATTCATTAGTCCGCTCAACACCTTTGATGTTTACCCATAATGAGGATTCTGAATCTTCCATGATTTGGGTGAAGGAAAGTAGTCTTGAAGGCAAATGCAAAAGCCCTCTCTGCCAAGTTATTTTTAGATTTTGGGTGCATAAGGATTTGGATCATTAGAGTCAAGTTACTGTACTCTCACTTGTTACAAGTAGTTGTAATTTTTACTCTCGATTGCTTGAAAATGAAGATTATTCCATGCTTGGGATCTCTTGTGTGAGCAAATAGCCAAATAGGCTCAAGTCCTAATTTGATTGCATCAACAGGCTCAAGTCCTAAATTTTCTTAGATGCTTTTAGTTTTAAGGAAGTAGATTTGCAAAATTGGTTTAATACCACACTATTGTTTGAATGACAACTTGGGTTCATGTTACTAATTTTTTTGTTGGGTGATGAAATCGTTTATATTTTGGCAATGCACATCTCCATCATCTCTTATTATCCCTATACATCGATACCATACCATTCCACTATAAGCATAGTTATGTATCACCTAACAACAATGTCCACCATTTCTTACCAAGCAAACAGACAATTAAAAAACATCTACAAAAGAAAAATAGAGACAGTTCGGTATTATTAACAGCGATTGTTTGTAAAGTAATGGCATGAGCAAGTGCCTATTTTATCAGCAATCAAACAAATTTGGAATTTTTTCACCTTTATTTTTCAAATTAATCACCAAACTACGAAATTTATTAAGAATGCCTAAGATTAAAACAACTAAGACATTAACAAAACGTAACTACTAACCACTAATGTCTCCTTGTAAAAATAATGTTTCGATCACTATAAGCCTCATCATGAAAGTCAACTACACTGGATCATTTGGATAATTTGGCAATTCATCAATATCATCCGTGTGGGGATCTAACTCTGTGTTCATGAATGGTTCACTGTCTGAGTTGCTACCCTCTCTCTGGCTACTTGAAGCCAATTTTTTACACGTCCGCTTCGTGTGTCCGATGCTCCTACAGTAGCAAATAATGCATAAACGATTTTAATAATCATATGCTTGTAACAGGATATGAAAATGTCATACAATGAAAGTACCATACCTACAATACCCACACCACCTTGGTTTTGAAGGTTTACCCATAGAAGATGTCCCTCTAGGGTTCCCTTTGGTCTTCACTACATTCGGATCACCAACGCCATATAGTTTGGGTGCAATATTTCTGTCCCCAGCCTCGGCGTTACCTTCTTTTCTCATTGCCCAACGTTTTTTCATCTGCGATGTCAGCTGGAAAGCTATTTCCCTTGCCTCTTCAAAATCTTTGTCCGCGTATGAGGCATAATATGACATTTCACTAAAACAGGAGCTGAGTATACCAAACCGAGTTGTCTGTGTTAGGGTGCTACAAATTTGGGTAAGACTTGGTTGTTGACACTTTGACCTACCACGTCTTGTCCATCTCTGCAAGACACAACTCGGTAGAATACACATTAATTGTTCAGATTTCATAACAGCAATCATGTGGTAGCAAGGGATTCCAAACGACTCAAACTTCAAGCAACAACATTTCATTGTGATATTAGCTGGAAAATACTCAACCGTCCATGTGCATGTTGGTGCCTTGTACTCACCAAAATGATAGGTGCGATGATCCTCCAGCTGAACTCTTTCCATCACAAACAATTTACCCTCTTTCCTGATTTCATATCGAAACAATGAGAAAATCTTCCGAGTAAAGAGTCCAGCTGCATGTTTCTCCAAACTTCTCAATGGCGTAGTCAAAATCGGGAAACTATTCTTTGTTTTCGATTCTATTTCTGCCTCATTAACACGCATTCTAGCAAGAGCCCTATCATATTGCGCTACAAATTCGTACAGCCTAACCTTTTGGTTTAGGAATATATTGAAATATGCATGCATACCCTCAACACGTTGAGTGCTCCTCATTCCAGCAAACATGCGACCACGGAGATATGCCTCAGCCCAATTATCACGCTTCAGATGAATATCCAACACCCAGTTATTGTTCTCCAACTTGTACTATTTCACCATAGTAACCCAGGCATTGTCAAACTCATCAATTTTACATTTCTTTAACATCAATTGTGCAAAATCAGTTGTAAATTCTGGTATGTGGACATTTGTTGAGGCATTTTTCTCCAGATGCCAAGAACATAAACGATGTCTGCAGTTTGGAATAACTCTTTCGATTGCCTGACGCATTGCCCTATCACCATCTGTTACAACGGAAATGGGTCTTTTACCATCCATGGCCTCCATTAACATTTCCAACACCCACGTGTATGTCTCCATTGTCTCATCAGGCAACAAAGCACATTCGAATATAGTTGTCATAAAATGGTTACTCACGCCAGCTAGAATTACAAATGGCTTCTTATATGCATTTGTATGATCAGTTGTATCAAATACCAATACATCACCAAATGCAGCATAATCCATTCGAGACCTACAATCTGCCCAAAAAATCTTGTCCAACCGGTTGTCCTTATCGACGTTGTATTTGAAAAAAAATAATGGATCTACATCTAATTTAGCTGATAAGTATCCTAACGCACCCACTGCATCCTCTTCTGCGAGTTGTACTTTGCGCTCAGCTTGGAATTAATTGTGCAAATCTCTATGAATGAAGCCCACCTTCTCGTAATCCCCTGACTGATGGACCATAAAATCCATGATTTGACTCGTTTTCATACCCACATTGCGCATTACTTGAGCTTGGTCTGCACTTGTTACAAACCTATGCGACCAAAGAAAAGGGACGCAGTGTAGTGCTGCCAAGGGATGGTTGTGTTCCCCTACAAAGTGGGTCACAACATATTTCCTAACTGTCTTGTCATAACGCATGTGAAATGTGGCACTCCAAAAAAGTCTAGTTTCTGCCCTAGGAGTTCTTACCCATTCCACATGTTGCAAGTATTTCTTTTCTCTTACACCTTCCCTTGAACAAACCCATTTCCTACTCTCTACAAATTTGTTGTCTCCAGTAATTCTTTTTCTACTTCTTCGTACGTTAAAACCGATGACCTTAGCATATGCATTGTAGAAAGTATAAGCATCATCCTCTGAATTGAATTTCATTTGCAAAACATCTTCCTTAGTAAGCATTCGTAAACTATCATAGGTTTGGGAAGCTAACCCTTCTTTCACATCAACAACATCATCCTTGCCATCTGGAGCAAATTGATCATCAATTTCAGTATTGACCCTTTTATGCCTACTGCTTTCAGGTTCATCCATCGTATATAGACTCGTAAGTACCCTATTAGAAATTAAAACGAAACAAATCAACTAAAAAACACACCTGCCATTGCGCTGCTATAAATTAAATCTTCAGAACAAATAAATTAGCACAGCTGCCAGTGCCTTGCAATCAATTAAAAAAAAATCGAACATGTCTGCAAGCACCCTACTATGAACTAAAACCAAACAAAAAACAAAAAAAGCACACCTACCAATACTGTGCTATCAATTATTAATTCTTTAGAGAAAATGAACAAATAAGTACACCAGCCAGTGCTCTGCTATCAATTATATGCCAATAATAAAAAAACACACCTGTAAGTACCCTACTATTAATTAAAATAAAATAAATTAATTAAAAAGCACACCTGCCAGTGCCCTGTTATAAATTAAAATCAAACAAATAAATAAAATAGCACACCCGCCAGTGCCCCGCTATTCATTAAAATCAAATAAATAAATAAGCACACCAGCCAGTGCCCTGCTATCAATTCAAAGCAAATAAATTAAAAAACACAAAAGCAATTACCCTACTATTAATTAAAATGAAACAAATACATAAAATAGCACACCCGCCAATGCCCTGCTATTCATTAAAATCAAACAAGTAAATAAGCACACCAGCCAGTGCCCTGCTATAAATTCAAAAACACAAAAGCAAGTACCCTACTATTAATTAAAATGAAACAAATAAATAAAATAGCACACCGGCCAGTGCCCTGCTATTCATTAAAACAAACAAATAAATAAGCACACTAGCCAGTGTCCTGTTACCAATTCAAAGCAAAAAAATTCAAAAACACAGAAGCAAGTGCCCTAATATCAATTAAAATGAAACAAATAAATAAAGTAGCACACCCGCCAGTGCCCTGCTATTCATTAAAACAAACAAATAAATAAGCACACTAGCCAGTGTCCTGTTACCAATTCAAAGCAAAAAAATTCAAAAACACAGAAGCAAGTGCCCTAATATCAATTAAAATGAAACAAATAAATAAAATAGCACACCGGCCAGTGCCCTGCTATTCATTAAAACAAACAAATAAATAAGCACACTAGCCAGTGTCCTGTTACCAATTCAAAGCAAAAAAATTCAAAAACACAGAAGCAAGTGCCCTAATATCAATTAAAATGAAACAAATAAATAAAATAGCACACCGGCCAGTGCCCTGCTATTCATTAAAACAAACAAATAAATAAGCACACTAGCCAGTGTCCTGTTACCAATTCAAAGCAAAAAAATTCAAAAACACAGAAGCAAGTGCCCTAATATCAATTAAAATGAAACAAATAAATAAAATAGCACACCGGCCAGTGCCCTGCTATTCATTAAAACAAACAAATAAATAAGCACACTAGCCAGTGTCCTGTTACCAATTCAAAGCAAAAAAATTCAAAAACACAGAAGCAAGTGCCCTAATATCAATTAAAATGAAACAAATAAATAAAATAGCACACCGGCCAGTGCCCTGCTATTCATTAAAACAAACAAATAAATAAGCACACTAGCCAGTGTCCTGTTACCAATTCAAAGCAAAAAAATTCAAAAACACAGAAGCAAGTGCCCTAATATCAATTAAAATGAAACAAATAAATAAA